TGCAGCACAGCACAGGCCAGATGATGTTAATAACATCTACCACTGATGTCAGGCTGCTCAAAGCTGGCCAATCAAGGCATTCCTTATGTCCCTGTCACACAGTGTGAGTCATGCCATGACCTTTTCATATTGCAAGTCATCGCTCAGGCAGACGCCCCCTTGCATATTAACTGGCTTATTATCGTAATTGCATACAGGTTTTTTTTTGTTGGGTTGCAGTGGTGCACGTGTAAGCCTAACAGTCTTGACTTTGTCTTGTGCGTGTGTGTGTGTGTGTGTGTGTTCACAAAACAGGCGTTAAAGTTCCCCGCAATTTCCGGCTCCTGGAAGAGCTGGAGGAAGGCCAGAAAGGTGTTGGAGATGGAACGGTTAGCTGGGGTCTGGAGGATGATGAGGACATGACCTTAACACGGTGGAGAGGAGTGATCCTCGGCCCCCCACGGGTGAGTGACGCACAATTGTTATTATTATTTTTTTGAACGCTTTAATGTGAAATGTTCAGTTTGTTATCAGGAGGTTAAAAGCCGGCGGTGTCTACGCGTCACAGACGCACGAGCTAAGAAAAGTCAAATCTACAGAGAGACGCGAAGAGTGTAATGAGTGATGCCGCGATTCGCTGTGAAAGTGAAATTGAGGCAGCTACAGGAAGCAACAGGTTACGCATCATAGGGCACAGTTCTCAGAAAGAGAGAGAAAATCAAGACGGAAGCTTTCAGCTGTATGCGGAAACGACACACGAATAATCTCCTGGACCTGAATGAGGACAGATTTGTTTTTAACCTTCAGGTCATGCATCACCTGTGTTCTCCGCCACCATAATGAAGTTGTCTGCATTGATTGTAATCTGCTGTTTGTTGATGTTTAAGCGTGCTGTCCAATCACCTCTTACTACCCGTCTCTGTCCACAGACAAGCTATGAAAACAGGATGTACAATCTCAAGGTTGAATGTGGGCCAGAATACCCAGATTCACCGCCGTTTGTCAAATTTGTGACAAAGATCAACTTGAATGGCGTGCACACCTCCAACGGTGTGGTATGTACATCTTCCAAACTTGTCATTATTATTACAGCTTGTTAGGCACAGTTTGGATGTCTCAGCTGGAAGCAGGGAGTCGATTTGAATGCCCTTCATCCTGAATGCATGCAGTCGAACAAGGAACGGCATCTGGCTCGTTTAATTTGTAACAGACCCAAACCCAAAATGAATGACTTGTGTTTAAGACCGTTGACATACATTGTAATATTGTAGACTCATCAGTGCAAAGAGTTGTTCTATGATTTAATGCTTGAATCCTCCAACAAATGATCCAAACGTTACATGAATGTTTGAAGAAAATTTGCATATGCTACAAGTCATCTACATCTAGATCTTCATGTCGGCTCTTTTTTGGGTGCTTTCCAGTTGCAGTTCAGTCCAAATGTCATTTTTCTTTTCTAAAACATGTGGTAGTATGACTGCTTGTTTTGAACCTGAACACATTGGCCCTGCATAGACCCGATGCAAATGTAGTATATCTGTTATTCTACAAATTAGGAGCACCAGTAGTTTATTCGTTTATTGACAGAAACATAATAAAATTCCTTTGATCAACAACAAATCATCAAATTCTGAGAAAAAATAATCAGAACATCTAATGATAAAAGAGTAAACCTCTTTTAAAGTCTTACAGTGTTTCACTCCTGGATCATCCACAACACAAAATCCACTTTAAACAAAACAGATTTGTCACAAAGGCGCCGTTTCTTACCTCCGCTGTCATTCCGTCTTTTTTTTTAAAATCTGCCATGGCATACTATTGGTGTCCCAATGGATATCGCACATTGTGTTACAGTGTTGAGGAAGTACGAGAGTCACAACGAGTAGACAAACAGCAAGAGCTTCACATACACCATCTCAGCCGTGCACACACACACACACACACACACACAGTGCTGCTCCTCCTTTCTGTTTCTGACATTTTACAGTGACACAGTTTCGCCCCTGTTACACCTCTTATTACTACCTCTGATGCAGACAAAGCAGTGAGAAGACTTCACCCCAGCACGACGCCTCCATGTGTTTTACATTGCGAATTAAGGTGTAACAGGGGCGTAAATATCCAGCCTTGAATTTCCAATGTAAACGGAGCAATTGATAATTTTGACATCTTTTTTAACCTCTAATAGATCAAACAGTTAATACATTGAAATAAAACGGCAGGGTAATCAATAGAGAAAATAATTACAAGTTTTAATCCTAAAAGATGTCCCCAGTGGTCCCACCAGACTTGTCCCATCAGAAATACATCATCATCTTGAGAAGTTCATGCCTAACGTCACATCCATCCTTGCTTACTTGCTTCCTGTCGTGCAGGTTGACATGCATGCGGTGACTGCACTGTCCAAGTGGCAGAACTCCTACAGTATCCAGATGGTGCTGCTGGAGCTGCGACGGCTCATGACCTGCAAGGAAAACATGAAGCTTCCTCAGCCACCTGAGGGCCAGATCTACTCCAACTGAGCCCCTGCTACTTTTGCCTCCATGTTTTTCTCTCCCTCCCCCTAAACTCTTCTGTTTTGCTTCCATCCCCTCTGTCCCCTATCCTGCGCCATGTGACATTCCACCTCCTGCAGACACTTTGGCTGAGCACACACACACACACACACGCACACACACACACACACACACACGCACACACACTGCAGAAGACTTAGTATACAAAAACAGAAACATGCAAACAAACACAAACACATGCACACAAACTCTCTCACACACACACACACACACACACACACACACTGCAGAAGACATAGTATACAAAATCAGAAACATGCACACATACACAAACACAAGGACACACACACACACACACACACACATTGCAGAAGACTTAGTATATAAAAACAGAAACATGCAAACACAAATACAAACACACACAAATAAATGCACACACACACACACACACATATATCTGCAAACACACTTTATTCAGAATTCATGAAAGTCATTCCAGGCACTGCCCCCCCTCCCCCCACCCCCCTCCCACTCCCTCTCCCCCCTCCCATCACTGGAGCTCTGGGTGGACTTTATGTGACGAGGCAGGCGGAGTCCTCGGTCCACACCAGATCTGATCATTCGAATACTGTACATGTTACTAATCTTTTTTTATTATTATTTGTTAAAAATGCAGATTGTACAATAACATAAATAATCTTATTGAGTGTACCTCTTTGTGTGTGTTCTCTTTTTGTGACATTGAAAACAGGTGTGGTTGCCGTTAGTGACAAGGACAGGCCTCATACTTCAAGGTTTACATGTGAAACCACAACCCAAGAACAGATATATCTAATGAAATATTTTGATGATGTCAGCTCACACAAAAAAAAAATTAAGCAGCCTTGTGGTTAACTCTCTTGCTGATCAGGAAGTGATCACCATAGACACACAGATCTTTTTCCTTTTCTGCATAAAGTGAACATTACGTGCAGTATCTCTGTCTGATCTGAATGTGCTTAGTAGCACAGAAAGCAAATCCACAGTAGATCTGCAGAAGTCCCATGATCGACTCTAGACATGAAGTCAAGCTACCTCTTTTGGGGCCTGAGTAACGTCAGAGCCGTTATCTGACTCGTGAAGCTGTCTGTGCTGCTTCATGTGGTCATTTGTTTGACGTTCTCCACTTCGTTCATAAATCTAAGTTCATGCGTTTGTGTCGATGTAGATCAGTACGTGTCGGTGCTGATGGGCTGCAGGCAAACACAAATTATATCCACAGCATTGCAGCAGAAGCAGCTTTCCTTCTGTAAGGTGTTTATTTATGTAACTCCTACTTTCAAACAACCAGCAGATTCAACAGAAAACACTTCTAGAGGCTCATTAAAGATACACTTAGACATCTTGGGAAATATCTTTTTCACTTTCTTGTCCAGAGTACAATGAGAAGATTTATACCTTCCTTATATTTGTTATGAAGCTTATTATTATTATTATTATTACATCATTATTTAGATTTCCTTATCTCTGCCCTTTGTAACGCACCTTATGACTCTATATTAATATGTGCAACATTAAAAAAAACATTGTATGAAAACTGCAGAGTTACTCTTCTCCTGTAGATAATCTACAGTCTCCTTAGAGATGTACTTACAGGTGTAGGTCCAGTTAAGAGAAGAGAAAACCAGTTAGGTGGTGTGGGGACAAATACAGGGGAGGACAAACGTTTATTTAATACTTGCTACGCCTCAAGCTAAATCCAGAGTAATCGCTGATCTGAGAACTATTGTTTGCTAGAAAAACATGTACGAGCATTTAAGGACATTTAAACTGACCTAAAATGAGCATGAATAACACTAACTAGTTCAAGGTAAACAAATATGTTGGATGATTTTATTACATTTCCAGACATATACAGAAGCACATGTGTTAGTAATACTTTAGTAATCATGCATTCAGTTTATATTTGCCAGTTGTTGACCTCAGTGTTGCCTTACTGGAGCTGCTTGTCAACAGGCAAAGCGGGCAACTGCTTGGGGGCCCGGGCCAGTAGGGGGGCCCCCAGAGGGCTGGCGTACTTGAAACCACGACAGCAGCCCAAAATGTGAACATTTCACAACGACAGTAGGACACTTCCCTAATGGGGCCCCATCTGACTGGTTGGAGGGCCTCCCAATTGATTTTTTTTTTTTCCTAAGGCCCCAACAGACCCTAGATTCACTGCATCATTCACCAGCCCTTTTCCCGAAACGTCAGCAAACACGTCACAACTTGTACAAACTAATAACGTTATAAATGACTACATCTCTGTCTATATATGAATCAGTCCAGTTCACTCTTTTAACAAGCTGCAGATGTTTTTAATCAAGAGACATCACAATCGACCATCACACTTACTAAACAGCATGGTTCATGTAAACTTCCTTTTTCATAAGCTGTATCTCTCCCCTGACGCCAGTAGGGGGCAGTGCAGCCCCGGACAGACAAAAACAACAACTGCTGCACATTTAGTGTTCTGTTGGAGCAAGGAGATTGCAGGTGAGCGCAAATGTCAGGGGCACCTCGAGTTGATTCAGCACCTTCTTGACCTAATAAAGAGGTGGGTGCAGTAAAGGCAGCTCGCTGGGTTCTGTCACTGCCCTCTCTGTTATCCAGTGGAGCTGTATATCAGCGGCTGGAGTGGACTCTGACCTACCCAGGAGCCATGTGATTCCCATCAGTGCTTCTGTGTAAGAGCAGCCCGAGGAGATCTGTCACTAAACCTCCATGTGAGATGACAGCAAGTCGTTTTCAAAGCCTGCAGGGACCGAGCACACTTGTGAGTACACGTCTCTGTTTAAGGCAGCGTGTTTGTTTATGGGATAAGTAGTTTGAGTAGTTTGTTTTGAACTCAAATGAAACACTAAGACAGCTCTTTAAACACATTTAAACTGATAATGTTATTCAAAGCCTTAACATAGTTTACAGATCAAAGTGTTTGCGTAATTCCACATCATGTGCGCTTTTACAAAAGTTGTTTTCTGACTTGACATGTCAATCAGTGAGATCAGATATGGAGTTTCATGGGAGTTTGCTCCACAGCGAGTGAAAGGGTTGTTAAATGTGTATCAGCTTATACTGTGGAAGTGAAAGAGATCACATTGAGCTCCCATCAGCTGTCACGTCTGTGAAGACAGAGTCTGCAGGTTGCAGTCTGCAGTGTGACTCGCTTTGTTGAGGTAACACACATTAAAGTTGTAAACGTCTGCTGATAATAACTAAGGAGCTCAACTGGCCTCAGCTGACATTTACTCCAATGAAAGTAGCACTTAGAAAACAATGAATAATGGATTTATCAGTCACAGAAAGGCATGTTGTTTTGTCTACAAGGTCAACTTTCTCTCCATCTATGTGATAATTAACAATTCTACTTCACTCTATTTCTAAGGGTGACAGCGTAATTATCACTTGATAGATAAAGTTTTTGCTGATTAAGACGATTTGACACAAATTAGATAAACCATAATAGTAATGTGACATTTGATGATTAATCTTTAACACAGGATTGGCTGTTCAACATGAGTTCTGGTTCTGTTCGAGGTTTCTGCCTCCTGAAGGAAGTTTTTTCCTTTGCCACTGTCACTTTAATGCGAAATGTTGCTTAGTGCTGTGCTCATGATGGACTAATGGTGGTGTCCTTGTAACATAATATAACAGAGTAAGGTCTTTTACCCGCTCTTTTGTAACCTAACATAACTAAGAGTAAGGTCTTTTACCCGCTCTTTTGTAACCTAATATAACAGAGTAAGGTCTTTTACCCGCTCTTTTGTAACCTAATATAACAGAGTAAGGTCTTTTACCCGCTCTTTTGTAACCTAATATAACAGAGTAAGGTCTTTTACCTGCTCTTTTGTAACCTAATATAACAGAGTAAGGTCTTTTACCCGCTCTTTTGTAACCTAATATAACAGAGTAAGGTCTTTTACCCGCTCTTTAGTAACCTAATATAACAGAGTAAGGTCTTTTACCCGCTCTTTTGTAACCTAATATAACAGGGTAAGGTCTTTTACCTGCTCTTTAGTAACCTAATATAACAGAGTAAGGTCTTTTACCCGCTCTTTAGTAACCTAATATAACAGGGTAAGGTCTTTTACCTGCTCTTTAGTAACCTAATATAACAGAGTAAGGTCTTTTACCCTAACATAATATAACATAGAGTAAGGCCTTTTACCCTAACATAATATAACAGAGTAAGGTCTTTTACCTGCTCTTTAGTAACCTAATATAACAGAGTAAGGTCTTTTACCTGCACTTTAGTAACCTAATATAACAGAGTAAGGTCTTTTACCTGCTCTTTTGTAACCTAACATAACAAAGAGTAAGGTCTTTTACCCTAACATAATATAACATAGAGTAAGGCCTTTTACCCTAACATAATATAACATAGAGTAAGGTCTTTTACCCTAACATAATATAACATAGAGTAAGGCCTTTTACCCTAACATAATATAACAAAGAGTAAGGTCTTTTACCCTAACATAATATAACATAGAGTAAGGCCTTTTACCCTAACATAATATAACAGAGTAAGGTCTTTTACCTGCTCTTTTGTAACCTAACATAACATAGAGTAAGGTCTTTTACCTGCTCTTTAGTAACCTAATATAACAGAGTAAGGTCTTTTACCTGCTCTTTTGTAACCTAATATAACAGAGTAAGGTCTTTTACCTGCTCTTTAGTAACCTAATATAACAGAGTAAGGTCTTTTACCTGCTCTTTAGTAACCTAATATAACAGAGTAAGGTCTTTTACCTGCTCTTTTGTAACCTAATATAACAAAGAGTAAGGTCTTTTACCTGCTCTTTAGTAACCTAATATAACAGAGTAAGGCCTTTTACCCTAACATAATATAACAGAGTAAGGTCTTTTACCCTAACCTAATATAACAGAGTAAGGTCTTTTACCTGCTCTTTAGTAACCTAATATAACAGAGTAAGGTCTTTTACCTGCTCTTTTGTAACCTAACATAACAAAGAGTAAGGTCTTTTACCCTAACATAATATAACATAGAGTAAGGCCTTTTACCCTAACATAATATAACATAGAGTAAGGTCTTTTACCCTAACATAATATAACATAGAATAAGGCCTTTTACCCTAACATAATATAACAGAGTAAGGTCTTTTACCTGCTCTTTAGTAACCTAATATAACAGAATAAGGTCTTTTACCTGCTCTTTTGTAACCTAATATAACAGAGTAAGGTCTTTTACCTGCTCTTTAGTAACCTAATATAACAGAGTAAGGTCTTTTACCCGCTCTTTTGTAACCTAATATAACAGAGTAAGGTCTTTTACCTGCTCTTTTGTAACCTAATATAACAGAGTAAGGTCTTTTACCTGCTCTTTTGTAACCTAATATAACATAGAGTAAGGTCTTTTACCTGCTCTTTAGTAACCTAATATAACAAAGAGTAAGGTCTTTTACCCTAACATGATATAACAAAGAGTAAGGTCTTTTACCCTAACATGATATAACAGAGTAAGGTCTTTTACCTGCTCTTTTGTCATAATGTAACAAAGAGTAAGGTCTTTTACCTGCTCTTTTGTCATAATATAACAGAGTAAGGTCTTTTACCTGCTCTTTTGTCATAATATAACAAAGAGTAAGGTCTTTTACCCTAACATGATATAACAAAGAGTAAGGTCTTTTACCTGCTCTTTTGTAACCTAATATAACAAAGAGTAAGGTCTTTTACCCTAACATGATATAACAAAGAGTAAGGTCTTTTACCCTAACATGATATAACAGAGTAAGGTCTTTTGCCTGCTCTTTTGTCATAATATAACAAAGAGTAAGGTCTTTTACCCTAACATGATATAACAAAGAGTAAGGTCTTTTACCCTAACATGATATAACAGAGTAAGGTCTTTTACCTGCTCTTTTGTCATAATATAACAGAGTAAGGTCTTTTACCTGCTCTTTTGTCATAATATAACAAAGAGTAAGGTCTTTTACCTGCTCTTTAGCAACCTAATATAACAGAGTAAGGTCTTTTACCTGCTCTTTAGTAACCTTTAGTAACCTCCTTGGTTCCTCTTCCACCATTACTCACCTAACCATCAGATTGATCCTGTGATGCTCAGTGGGAGGCTGACATCACCGCAAAATGCTCCTTATGCACCGATGCAGATATTGATGATCTCACAATGACTTATCAGTTTTTTGTTCACTACTAGAGCCAAAATGATTTTTTAATGGGGATTTTTATGAGAGTATTTGTTGAAGTTATGTTAAGATTGTTGAAGTGGTACTTTCAAAAAGGATGTGAGTACTTCATCCATAACTGAAGTTATAATAACCGACTGTATCTGATTCATGTGATTTCAGCGAGAGAGGGGATTGTGAGTCAACAGTGTCTTGTGTTTTCTTCTCCTTCACATTTTCGACGTTACTCTCAAAGTCATGATTAAGGAAACACTATGAGACAGATATCTAACTGATTATCTGACAGGTGCACGAGAAACTTCAAGGATTATGAATGAAAAGGGTCAAACATCTCGAGGAGTTCACAAACAATTTTAGTTTTTTTTTTTTTTGCTTCTTTGAGGGGAATTTTGAGATGTTTTGAGTGATAGAGCTCTGATGCTGGTTAACTTTTGTTCTTGTCCAGTTGCAAAACCCCCAAAAATAAGTCAGAAAATATCTATTTATTTGTTGTTTTGCTGAATAAGCATTTGTAAATCTAGTGTAAGTAACATTCAAATCCTTAAAAATGTATCTTAGGCTAGAATATAAAGTGGTTAAGTGAGTTTAATGTTCATTTCTTTTTTGTTTAAGGTATGACAGACAGGGGAGGTGGGACTATTTTGGGAGGCGCCTTCTTCTTCTGCAGACTCTCCTCAGACTGATCTGGCTCTAGCATGGCTCTGTTGGTCCACCTGCTGGCCTGTGGCTTTGGCCTGGGCTCTTGGGTGGCAGTTAACGGTCTGTGGGTGGAGCTGCCCCTCATCGTCAACACGCTCCCGGAGGCCTGGGAGCTCCCGTCCTACCTGACGGTCATCATTCAGCTGGCCAACCTGGGACCTCTGCTGGTCACCCTCATGCACAAACTGTGCCCGGGTCGCCTTAAGGAGCATATTGTCATTTACTTTATCCTCTCCAACGGGGTCCTGGCCTGCATCCTGCTTGCCTTCTTCTGGGACAGGACTACGGTGGTGGCCGGTGCACTGCATAGCACGGCCTTCTTCATCATCACCTTCTTCCTCTCTTTGGTGGACTGCACCTCTTCAGTTACCTTCCTGCCTTTCATGATGCAGCTTCCAGCTAAATATGTCACCACCTTCTTTATCGGAGAAGGGCTAAGTGGCTTTATACCTGGCGTAGTCGCTCTGGCGCAAGGTGTGGGCATCGCAAAATGTGTCAACTCCTCTCAGACTGCAGGAAACCACACAGGAGAGGACATGTGGACGATACACACAGAGTACCTTCCTCCTAACTTCTCCCCCAGGGTGTTTTTCTTCTTCCTGGCAGCCATGACGTGTATAAGCCTGGCGGCCTTCACAGCGCTGAACAGGCTTCCTCGCACATACGAGCTGTCCACAGAAAACCTCGTGCCAGACACGGTGGCATCTGTCAGCTCCGGGCTGGATAACCCCGGAGCAGAGAAGGACGGACAAGACGTGAAAGGCCAGGGTGAGGGGTTAGGCCAGAGCAGGCCTCTGCTTGGCTACAGACACTCTGTATACCAGCTGACCTTCATCTACTTCCTGGTGGTTTGGGTTAATAGTGCAACCAACGGCCTTCTGCCCTCTGTGCAGACGTACTCCTGTATGCCCTACGGGAACCTGGCCTATCACCTCTCTGCTGCTCTGTCTTCAGTCGCCAACCCGCTGGCTTGCACCATTGCAATGTTCTTCCAAAACAGGTTAGAAGTCCTACACATGTAATGTTTTTATTACACTGATCACAGTTGTTATATCTCTGTATAAATAACAGTCACATGCATGTTTGAACATTAAAACAAGTTTTACCTTCTTTAAAAAGTGGGCGGGGCTTCCGTTACACCAGTCAGTTTGTGGACTTTGTGGTATTTCAGCTACAGGATCATATTTGTGTAAGAGTTGAGTGCTTAAAAGGAATAATGGATTAGCAGGTAATTAAATAACGCTAGCACGCGCTTGCAAGGTTAGTAAAGTGTATCTGTTACTCATGGTAACATGGTAAGTTTCATTGGGATGATAAACTTAACACTGTTCAAGACATAGACTGTATATACAAATGGACAGCGTTGCCTCCAGTTGAACAGGATGAAGCCAGAATATCCCTGACCGCTGACATGTTGCAAATTTGTAAATAGAGTCTGCACAGGCTGGAGGAGTTGCTGTATTGACGTCACGCTGCTCCCTCTCATGAAAACACACATTTAATGTTCTGATAAAACGGCAAAAATCACTCAGGTGGGTCCGGCCCACAGCGGAACTGATTCTTGTGTCAGTTTGAAGGAGACACTCGTGGGTTATGGAAATTCAAATGAGTGTTGGTGTCACAAAAAAACAACAAGATAGGGATGGTAGTTTCATTCCCAGTACTGTTGTCAGTTTGGTATTTCTGATTTGAGCACCGGTTTCTTTACAACTGGGATCTTTGCAGGAAAATGTCAGTGCTAAAGAGAGGTGGTCGCTTTCCACTTCAGCAGATCTGTAACAGCAGCAGCACTGATAAATATGAAGAGTGTGAATGTTTTTAGAAAGAAGAGATTAATACCAAAAAACACACAAAATGATGACTTTAGAAGAGAGGTGTGGTGCATTCAGAGATATGGAAGAAACAAATGAACCATGATAAAGCAGCAGCAGTGTGTTTAACATTGTTTCACTTTGATTGAAATCATGAAGGCCACAGTGTAACTGCTTTACTGGATGTGGTTTGTTTTTATAATATTTAATGTAAACTAAGCATCAGTTTTTTTCCATAGAGATTGATAAAATAGTTCTGAATTAGAGACTTCATTGAGTTACAAAAGTTGGTTTTCTCAGGAACATGATGTGAGGCCCTCAGCTTTGTGTTCATGACGCTTCAGCAGTTTGTGTTACTGTCCCTCCAGTGCAGATCAGGAAGGAAACACATAAGCATAAAAAGAAGGAACTGCACACTGAAATGACTAACTTGGAAGAAAGTCCCTTTCTTTAACTGACTCAGACTTATTTAGACAAATCATCTTTAAATTAACCGACCTGATGGTGGACTTTTATTAGCATTGGTAGCTCATTTGAAAAGCCGGCAGTATGATCACAGCAATAAAACTGCTTTCTGTGTTCCTACAGGCACCCAATCAACTACTATATAATGAGTACTTAAATAGTTAATATTTCAAGGGTTTTATTACACTCAGTTTATGGCTTTACAGGATTCTAAAAGTCAATCAAAGATCCTTTGAAAATCTGTAAGTGGAATGTTAGAAATGAGGAAACGGCTGCTGATAACCTTTTTCTTGTTTTCAGGTCACTCGTCTTTCTCGGAGGGCTGACGGTGTTGGGGACGGGATTTGGCAGCTATAACATGGCCATGGCAGCTCTGAGTCCATGTCCGCTACTTCAAGGCTCTGCGGTGGGAGAGATGATTATTGTAAGTGAAGATAAATATGTGAAGTAATAAGATGTGGAGCGTGGGAGAACAGAACACATTTCTAAGTAGCTTTATCAGAGGAATGTCCTTGGCAAAGTTCAACTTCTCCTTTTACAAAACACCTGAGGATTGAGCAACTCTGCTCACTCTCATAACTAATGATGTGGTAACATAATATTCACAGGGAGCAGTGAGCAATATTTTAAAACCATCGTGCCTGAAATCCTGACTTTCTTTTCCTTTTAGACACAGCTGATGTTTAAATATTATCAGATGAACTGCTGAGTCCACTTTGTTTTTTTCTTTTTTTTACCCTCTACAGGTGCTGTCTTGGCTCTTCTTTACGGGGACGCTGACTTATGTCAAAGTAATGGTGGGTGTTATCCTGAGAGACCGGAGCCACAACGCCCTGGTCTGGTGTGGAGCTGCGGCGCAGATGGGCTCATTAGTGGGCTCGCTCACCATGTTCCCGCTGGTCAACGTCTACCAGCTGTTTCAGTCTGGAGACTTCTGCAACACTAAATGTCCCTGATATTTCAATGGAGGAGACAGGGAAGACTTTGACCGTCTCTTTCTGAGCGTTTGATTTGGGATCAATACCACTCCTATATTTGCTTAAGTATGGGGAAAGACGCAGGAGTCAACTAGCTTAGCTTAGCTGTAAGAATGAAAAAAGGGAACATTGCTATTCTAGCTCTGCCAAAAGGTTCCTATCAGCACTTATAAACCAGTGTATCTTGTTTAATCTGTGCACAACTCTTGAGCTGTTTTCACACATGCACTACTGAAGATTGTCTAGAAGGACAGTTTTTCCCTTCATATCAAAGCTACGTGTAATTATACGTATTCACAGTATCAAGCAGAAAAGAGAATGAAGCAGCTTTATTACGTGCTCAAAGATCACACTGGTCATCACTCCAACCCACGAGGGAGCTGGTAGGAAAAGAGCCCGGCAAAGTTAGGGTGAAAATTGTGTCTGTTCCTGTGAACACATGCAGCTCACCCCGAAACGTTTGGGATCATTTCAGGACTTGTGTGTCTTTGAAAACACCATAAATGTAAGCTGCTGCTTTTTTTTTTTTTTTTTCCACAGTTGCTCCAAATATGTTCACTTCTTCTGGCACTCAGCATCAGAATCAGAAATACTTTATTAATCCCAGGGGGAAATTCGGTGTTACCATTGCTCTTCACACAATACAGCAGTAGGAAATAAAATAAAATAGAGATAATAAAATAAGCAATAAAATGAGCAATAAGTACCAAGTAGGGCTATATACAATAATAGGATATATACAGTATATATACAATAATAGGATATATACAGTAATAGGATATATACAAGATAAAGCAATATTTACATTATGAATGTGAACTGTAAACAGATACTGCACGTTGTAAAGGTGTAAAGATATTGCACAGTGTATTGACCAGTTTGCAGACAGATTGCACAGTTTCAGAGTTCAATAACATGTCCAGGTTAATAATCCAGTGTCCGGGTGTGTGATTCTTAGAGGGAGGAGTTATAAAGTCTGATGGCCACAGGCAGGAATGACCTCCTGGGTCGTTCTGTGATGCATCGTGGGGGAATCAGTCTGAATGAGCCGTAGATTTAACATTTGATTTTTGTACATTTTGAACAGGATAAAACCTGTTAATTAACTATAGTGATGCTAGTAAGCTTATCTTCTACTCTGGGCAGATTCAGGCTAGCTTTGCCCCCCATTTCTGTTCTTTATGCTAAGCTAAGCTAACAGGCGACAGGCTCAAGCTTCATATGCAGCCTACACATAAAGGCGGTATTAATCGTTTCTTTAATGCGCAGCAAAAAGGCACATTTCCCAAAATGAGGAACCTTTTCTAAAGGTTCATCTAAAGCGCCACAAACCTTGCCCCAAAATGTTTATTTTTTATTTCTTTGATTTTGAAGCCATGTTTGCACTTAACTTTATAAGTGTGTCATGTAATACACTATCATGGACTAAACTATGAACTTGTATAAACATTAAACAACAGAAGTCGAACACTGAGACACCTCTCTTTTATTCATTCACAGAGTTTCTTGCACCTTTCTTCAAACTGTTTGGCCACCAGGTGGCGTAAGAACACTTCGGACATTAACAGCTGTTACTGCAGTGACCACAAATCTTGTCCATGAAATACATTTAAACTGTCCACATGGAAAAAAAAACCACACACACACAAAGGAGTGGAAAAGGCTTTGAAGCATGAGAGCTAAAGATTACATTCTGACATTATTACAACTATTATACATTGAAACATGTATAAAATGAAAACAGGTTGTTGATGCATTTTATAAATATGAATATGTTAGTGAGACAATCAGCACTAAGACATCTATATTGTTACACTACCAGCTTTATATTAGAGTTAATTTCCACTTCTATTAAAGCAACTTTCAGAGAAATGTAATTATTTTTAGATTTTTTTTCTGGGGCTTTTTGCCTTTATTTGGATCTGAAAGCGAGAGTGATAGGAGATAAGGGGAGGATATGCATCAAACAGCATCAGGATTAGGAGTCTAACATGCAGCCAGTGAGACAAGGACCGAGCCTCTGTACATGGAGCCCCTGCTCTACCACCTGAGACCAGCATCCCATGCTGTCATTTGTATTTTTTATTCTCTTGAATTGATCTGAAAGATGTAGATATTACTGTACTAATAAGATTGAGATTCATCATAAAGAAAACACATGAACACATGTACATAATAATAGGTTGTTTGGATCAAACTAGTTATATGTCATCTCTTACAAAAGGTGCAATAGTTTTGGCCTTTGCCACCTTTCCTTTGTGTTGTCCCCCTAACAGACATTTGCCATTTAAACATCCCACATAGTTTTTCCTTTCTTTCTGGCTCTTCTAAATTTCATGACACCTGGACAATCTTTTATTCTACATATCAGTCAGTGAAGTTTTTCTCTGCTGTTTCCTTAAAGCTCCTGTGAGGAACTTCTGGTTTGTGTTGATTTTGGCGCCCCCCCAAGGAACATAGCAGTACATCGTATCTCTTTGCTAATCTCCTAACAATAGTGGAAATAGTAAACAAAGGCTGTTTCTGCAGTGAACTGTAGTTCACGTTGATGACAAAAACTCCTCACAAGGGCAAGACAAATCAATAAATTGATCCTAATGAAGTGGAAACAGCTGGGCAAAACTACTTGTGTATACGGGGCACCGGAGGCTAAGTGGTTACTGTAGTTCCCCAAGTACAGAGGCTGTTGTCCTTTAAATCCGACCTGTGGCTCCTTTCCTGCATGTCACCCCCCCCGCCCCCCCAAAAAACTATTCAGTTATTTTTAACGATCTAAAGAACTTTAAACTATAACTCCAGCTATCCACCTATAACATTAACGCATTGTTGCATCAGATTTTTAAATGCAATCATTGAATGCATCAGTAAGAGACGATGAGAAAGGCTCCTGCATTGTCTCGCTTTATGCTGATAAATTGATTTGATCATACAACGTTTCAATCTAACCGACCTTCATCAGTTATAATGCATTGTCTTTAAGTTTGACCCTCCTTTGACGCACCCATCACACACTCAGGTGTGCAGAGATTTTTTTCAATGCATCAGTTAGAGCACAGATGCTTTTACTTTTTTGATGTTTAAATATACTACCTGTACAAAAGGAAGTATATTTTACAAGCCAAGCCAATAATTTGACGCATTTTTAAGTCTTGCAGTAACGCCTTTCAAACGCAGACTAAAATGCTCTGAGTAATAAATCACTGACAGAATAATGAATCACCAACTGGTCACAGAAATGCTGATAACAAACAAAAAGCAAGAGAAGAAGATAAGCAGCCACGAGAAACCAGACAGACAACGATCCTATAATACGTCTGATCCGGGGCCCCATCATCCCTATCAGAGATGCTGCTGCACATCCTCAGAGGAGGACGCAGGGACGCTGGTCATCCATGGGAACCGCAGAGTGGTTTCCCATCGGCAGCTGTTCCTCCTCTCTGAACCTTTGCCCTTCAGAAGGAGAGCGAGAGGTTCCCCAGCCTCGAGGAGGAGGAGGAGGAGGAGGAGGAGGAGGAGGGGGGGCTCTAATTACTGATGCTCAGCGGGGGCCAATGGCTGTTGCTCCTTCCACTGGTCACTTGGGAGCTTCCCTGACCCCGGCACTGAGTAAAAACAAAAAGATAAGGAAAGGGAAAATGGGGCTACAATTAGCCCTATGTAGCCTCCGGGGCGCAGGATCAGTGGAGGGGAAGCACAGATGGGACTTTCTCACTTGGATTTGTTGAATGTACTTTGCGGTGTTGTGTAATTCTGCACAGAAATCACTGCAGTCGGTTGGCTGTCGATGCAGATTTGAATGAAATTGTGATCACAAACAATACATGAGAATGATTATTTTGTCTCCTCCTTCACCTTAGGGCTGTCACAATACCAAAATTCTAAACTTTTGTAAATATCACATGATATTAACACTTGTTTGGTTACCACTGCAACAAAAAATACAAGTCCTAGGCATCCAATAATGGGAAATTTCTTGTTTTTAATTGCCAAAAATGGCAAATAATCCCCTGCACACTCTTTGAATTGCACAAAAACATTGGCAACTTTTCTACATGGAAACATTGCCGATGGTTTTTAAAAATGTTTGCTGGCCTCAATCCTCCGACGTGCCTGTCATATGTAATAGATGTAGATTATATACTACACAATATATATAGAAAATAACAGATTGGATTTGTTTAAAACAGGTGGTATCAAAAAGTATCAAACATTTTTTACATGCTGGGTTCATCAGAAGATTGCACATAATGCTGATCTCCAATGTTTACACGACCTTGAGTATTTATATGTAATCAAAAGGATTTGCCTCTAAGCTTCATTAGCTAAATTCCTTGATTGGCTTGGGGGGGCTTTTGTGTTCGGGACAAAACAAAGCAGCAAAGAAAAGTGTATCATTTCCCTGCGAGTGTCAGATGGTCCCATCGCTCCTCCAGCTGGTCAGGAGGGGCCGCGGCCACCTGGATGCTGGGTCCCGGTCTTGTGAGATCCTGCAGACTCCTCTGCCATGTGAAGACTCCACTAACTACGCTACAGAGAGGTCCATCTGCTCAGGACGACACCTCCCAAAGAGACCCCCCCCCACTACCCCCTAATCATACTACTACCACCATCACTAAAGCTCCCTTCCTTCAGCCTCCGTGCCTTTCAGCTAAATGAGCAGCGTGTCAAATGGAAGGAGGATTTACCCTTCCTTTAACGGGATAAGAGAATGAATCCACAGCACCATGATGCTATGACTGACGAGCCCACCTGCACTCCTGCTGAATCGACACAAATATCACCTGTGTGAGACTTTGCATGCAGGGACTACAGGGATCACTGAGGGGCATGTTAACATCTTAAACGGTTTAAAAGCACGGCCACACAAAGGGAAGTGTCTTTTCATTGGTGTAAATAAACAAAACAATGTTTAGAAAGTGTGAAAATTTGCTTGGCTGAACCTGCAGCCAGACAGATTTTGGCAGCTGATGTTCAGGTGAACAGCTTGTGGGTAAACCGATTGCTGATGCATGCAGACAATTCACAGACGGGCACAGCTCAGACAGCATCTCTCCCATCAATTTCCACACACACTCCATTTAATAAACGCCGTCCATTTATTTGAAATTGGATGTGACAGCCCTATGTCATTTCACTATAGTGTCTCAGAGCAGACAGTGATGCACGCGGGCCCACTCCTCGTTTTCTATCAGCAGGTATTGATGTTGCTTTAATGAAGTGCCTAGCACTCCACCCTAGGAGGAGACAAGTCTGTCAGCATATGTAAATGCTTCCTGCCTGTCATTGTTGTGGAGGGTTCAGCATGGGTCAGCATGGATTCCCCCTCTGGGAACCCTTTGTTCTGGGGCCGACTGTGCCACATGAGGGGACCAATTACAGAGCGGCACAGCAGGACGGGGGTGCTAACTTGTTACCCTGCTGTAGTGAGCTAATTATTACCTCCACACTGTGGGTAGTAAAGAGACGGCAGAGCGGTGACAAAACCTAGCTTGTGTGTATGCATATCGTTTCTGGATAAAGTGGTATATATTTCCAGGATATAATAAGACATTTCACTTCATTGGTTTACATTGAGGGCACCATTATCACAGTATGAGAAAAGGTCATCCTAATTTTCCTGCCATAAATAGCTACTGAACTGCTTAAATCCCAGCGGAGCTCCTTTGCATTGTCAATGCAAAGGCAATTTACAGGCTCCACACTGCCAACCACATAACCTTGATGTGTTGTCAAGAAATGATTTATGAAAATGCATCCCGCTCCCCTTGTCCCGAGTGAGACCTGGCTGGACCCGGAGTGTTGACACAAAGCCCACACGGCCGCGCAAACAGACACCAGCAAAATTATCATTCATATCATAACATCTCGATGGGCTTTTGTTCCCAGCTCCTGATGAGATACTGGCTGTCTGTTTCTCATCAAGGGAGTGCAGCAGATTTGGCAGGTTTCTGCCGAGCAGCAAAATGTTTCAGCTGACGTGCAGAATGATGCTTTATGCAAATGCCAGTGTGGAGATGAAACAGAAACAATGAGCAGGTCAGCCGATATATGTAAGCACACCTCAGCAGGAGCATCCTTATCGGAAGTGTTTTAGAGCAGCTGTTACATGTGCAAAAAAAATTGACCTTTGAAACGTTTTGTGCAAAGTAAAAGCACAAAATAATTTGGGTTGAAAAAAAAGCCTTTTAAAAGAAAAATGATATAGCCTCGAGCCATCAGTCTGATTCCAAACAATGTAAAAATTGGAAAAAAAACAGCTTCATACAACTGTTGGTAAAATTCATGCAGCAAAAGAAAATCAAAAAAAGCAGTTGTTGGAGCATTTCTCTTTAAAATGTATTCCTCCTGATTACTGATGGAGGCTCAATTATTGCTTTCTTTGCACATCTTTATTCACATGTAATGCTGTATGGCTGTTAGTCATCCATGAAGAAAAATGTCTTGATTTCACCTTTCAATACTGAGACTAGGTTT